AAGATGGAGAAGTAGAAAGCCAATACCGTTTCTTTTTCAAAAATCATTCCTCTCTCAAAAATATACCCCTTTCAATTCAAACTACTGAATTTTATGGAAAACGGTAACTTCTACAAAACTTTCTTGTAGATAATGTTATAATTATTAAGAAGGGAGAATCTCAAAATTAAAAAACATTTTTTCTGCACCTTTGCACCGTCTTTTGGATTGTCTATTTCTATTCAGACGGGCCTCTCTTCCAAAAGTCCTAGATTGAAAATAAATCCAGAGTCTTTGCTAGAGTTCAATAACGACAAAACTACACAGTCGTATTCATGCTTAGATAAATGAAAACTAGAATACGCCCTACTGCATTGATTCCTTCATTATTTATGGAAGAGACGATTCGAACATGCAATTTAGGTATACAGGAAGAGTTGTTGCATTTGTTTGCCGAACGGGCAGCCGCTCATAATTCAGGAATATATACAGACCTGATCTTGACCTCCTTGCTCTGCCATTCCGCGTGCCGATCGAAGCTGATAAGAATGGCTGCGATTTCCTGAAAAGAAAAGAGTCGATGAGTTATCTGGTTTCAGCGAAACGAATGCATAGCGTGATGTTATTGACATTTGATCGAAATTGGTGTTTGAAATTGTAACGTTCGTGTTTGAAAAGTAAAAGATCTCTGAAAATAAATATTTTTCAAGCAACAGACATTAACTTGGTAATGTGGTGGTGCTCCATCCTGCTGAAACCATTTCGTATTCACTGGAACTTGAGGATTTTCTGGATCAGGATATAAATTTGCTAAACTTGGAATGACATCAATTTGAAGTAGTGCCAAATAATTATCGCCATTCAAGTTGCCCTCAATGAAAAAGGGACCAATGATATGGTTTTCTACAATCCCTGCCGAAACATTAACCATTAAGAGACAAAGTACACTCATCAGAAAACATAACGTCTTCTAATTGCTTCATTTGCCTACAAAAATAAGTTCTTCTATCAAAATCGTCTTTCATGAGCTCCTGAGTATGTATCATTTCATAGGGATGCATTTGTGTTTTTTTTAATATGTTTACTATCGATGTATGGCTAACATTGAATGTAGTGGATGCCTGTTTACTCGATGTATGTGAGTTTTTCTCAAACTCAGGCATCACACCTAATTTGAGTTCATCACTCATTGTATTGGCATCTGCTTTTTTAATTTGCCCCACATGACCAAGCTCGCGAAACTGCTTTTCTATTTTGCTTATTGTTCCTTGAGATATGGGCGGTAAATTAGGAAATTTCTCATGAAATAGGCGACCTACTTCCTGTTGTGTTCGGGTTTTATCTCCGTAACCAATCATTTGTAAAACTGTTATTTTATGTATTTCCGTTAATCTAATCATTTGTCAGACTTGAAGTTAACGAACTTTAAACTTAAATTAAAATACTGACAACTAATGTTGTAACATACAAAACAAGTTGAAAGGCGTTTTAAACTAACGTTGCCACGGAAACTATTTACAGTTGTTTATAGGATACCATCTGAAAAGAACATTGCTATTGCTTTTGCTCCTTTTCTTATTATCAATACCTTAACATGAAATAAGTTTTGGGTATATTGCAATAAGTTTTGAGTGTATTTTATCGAATTTCGGTAAACACATGATTTTAATTTATTTTATCTTAATTGTTGCAATAAATTCGAAAGCGATAACATTTTTGAATAGAGAATGAAGATACCTTTCAAACAATATATCAGAAGCCTATACTTCCTATTTAAAAAATCAGGGGTTGTACCTGTCATTCAACGGGGGATGAAGATAGGGGATTTTGTTGAAATATGTACCGTAACCGAAATAATGAATTCATTCCATTTGGCTTTTACACACTGCATGTGTAGTAAGAACCTTATTTTGTGATTTTTTTGTGGTTGTAGTAATAAAGACGTTTATTATTATTATTATCAACTTGTCGTTTCAGTTTTCTGTTAAATTATAGGTGAAACGTTTTGAGTAATGGAAAGGAAGGTACTAGTATAATTTCTTATCTCTCAGATACCTCTATAAACTCGATAACATTTTCTTGATCAAACTTTGTACACTGTTAACAAAACTAATGAAGAATTCCTTTGAAAAGGTGTCATTCACTGCCATAAAAAATTATGATATATTGTGTTGGAAGAGATAAAATTTTGAAGAAATTTAAAGTTTAACATGAAAAAAATGAGAGTGATACCTAAGTGACTGAAAGTGAGCAGTGTGTGGTAGTTCCTGAAATCTTTGATTTTACGTGGGTCGAATTTTTTTTTTTGATGCCGTGTATCTGAATAATTACTTGTTAATCAACTACTGGTAATGGAAGATAATTTTAGTGGAAGGTAGACTGTCATTTATACTTTCGAATGTCATTCATATCAAGTTGCTTTCAACGCTTTATTTTAAGCATATTGGAGTAAATTCCTGAACATCAATCATTCGGTCATCTAGATGATTATTCTCATTAAAGGATTTCTACTGAAAAATTATTCGCAACACCATCACTATCGATTACTTAGGTAATAGTTCAAATAAACAAATTTTCATTGTTGCAGGCAATCACTGATAGTAGAACTTTTAATCATCTGACAAGCAAGCACGTCATGTGTTGTGCAATAAAGGTTAGAAAAGCAATAGTAACTCCACTGTACCTACTCGTTCATAGTTCAATCGAAGCACAAAATGAGGAACAATTATGACTCGGGCGTATAAAAAAAAATATGTGATAAAAAGGCATATTTGACATAAAATAATTACTCATGTCATTATGAACTGATTGCAAATTTTTAGTGAATATCTTATAATACAGATCTTTAAACGATTTTTGGTTCACAATATGCTCCTCATTGAGAATATTTCAAAAAGATTCAAAAGAGATGAACAAATATTCGATACGATGTATCTAGTACTTTTTGATGTATTGGAAAAAATCTCCCGAGTGTGAAAAAGTTTCCTTTGCACATTTAACACTTTTCGAACTGAACTGAGAAACGGAAATTACAAGTTTTTTACTTTAATTCTTCTGGCCATTAAACACTCGAGAAAAGGTTAATAAAACACACTTTTCCACATAATTGAATATGAGTTAACGGCCATTTTTAAAGCCAATATAACGGCAGAATGGTTAACAAACCACTTCAAATATAAAATGCTTCTAACCAGTAACGTAATTTTGTTCAAGCAATGCAATCGAGTTACATGGACGTAGAAATAGAGACATCTAAAAGGTATTGCTCTCGAACAAATGTTTGCCAAAAAACCAAGTAACATGATCGTTAATTCATATACAACCCTATTTTTTTAATGTAAATATTCAACTATCTCGGCATAATATGCTATCTGTTTTAATTTTTTTTAATATTTATGTATTCATCAATTTCTATTTTGTCCCCTTCAGATATGATATGCAGTTCTGATATGCACTATTTGGTATGTTCTTGATTTGTCTTAGCGATTCAGTTTTAATTTACTCAATATTGGACATAGGAAAAAGTCGCAGGGGACCGAATCTGGTGAATACGGTGGCTGAGGTATAATTATAGTATTGTTCTTGCTCAAAAAATTAGGAACAAGCAATGACGAGTGAACAGGTGCATTATCGTGATGCAAATGCCATGAATTGTTTATCCACAATACCGGACGTTTTCTTCGTATTGCTTCTCGTAAGCGGGCCATAACTTCAAGATAATACTCCTTAATGACTTTACCACCATGTGACACGAACTCCTGATACACTACGCTGCGGTAATCGGAGAATACAGTGAGCAAAATCTTGACATTTGATCGAACTTGGCGTGTTTTTTTGTTCTTGGCTCTACTGAGCTTTTCCATTGGAACGATTGGACTTTGGTTTCTATGTCTTAACTATGATTTGTCACCGGTCATGACTCTTTTAAGCAAATCTGTATCGCCTTTAACATCATTCAACAACTCCTGAGCGATGATCGTGCGACGATTTTCTTTTATCAAAATTCAGCAATTTTGAAACGAGCTGCACTGCCACACATTTCAAGCCCAAAATTAAAGAAAAAGTGACATGGCATGAACCAACCGATATGCCGACATCCTCAGCAACTGGTCTAATAGTGCTTCGACGATTCTATATAACAATTTTCTTCACTTTCCTAACATTTTCATCGGTTGTTGATGTGATGGAGCGTCAAGGCCGAACGTCGTCATTTACATCCTCTCGACCTATGAAAACTTGTACAACTTGTAAACTTTTTTCTGAGTCACCGTACAATCACCGTATGCCACTGTCAACATTTCGAGTGTTTTTGTGTACTTAATTCCATTTTTTACACAAAATTTGATGCAAATGATTTGACCCATTTTGCGATACTAGAAAATCGTCGACCACGCAGAATATTTATGACTCTCACCAACAAATTAAACATACTAAACCTCTGAAACTGTGAACATGTGTTCGAAGCGAGTGTACCCACATAAAAAAAATCGCTAATCGAATGTACGCAGCCCGCGAAATTTGATCATTCATCTTATTTTTTGAACGGTCCACGTATATCATTGTTCCTTTCAAACTCTTCAACTGAAATACCATCTTAGTCCTATGTCTATCAATTGTCAAATTGAATCCTTCATTTGATGTTGACTGGAAGAGTATATCAAGATTGAAAATAAATCTGGAGAATTAAGCTCGGTTTGAAAAATATATGAAGATATAAAATGTGAATTGCTGTCAGAAGGATGTTATTATATTATTCATGCTAATGAAAGCGTGTTCTGTTTGAATGTGAATTTGAGAATAGTAGGAAAATTATGGCAAAACTAATGAATATGAAATTGAAAAGCTTGAGAACGCTCACTTTCGAAGAAATGACATTGTGACCTAATGATATTACTTGAGGAAGCTATTGTACAGGGAAACACGTAAAGCGGTTTTGTGAAACCTATTATAGTGAAAATATTTCAGTAAACTGTATTCGTGAGTTTTAATAATATTGGTTATGAAAGATGTCATTGATAACGAATAAAATGTCAATAGTATACAAACAACATCCAACTCAACAATTACCGACTTAACATCCACCGGCACCTTTCACAACTAACGTTTCAACTTACTTTCCATGACTACCTGAAAAATAAGACGAATTGAAAATATGTATGAAGCTAGACTTCCACTGAGATCTATACTCACACATACAAAACCCAACAACACTGAAGAAAAAACAAAAATTGTATTTATGAGATACCTTGTTCTTGTGGTAAAAGTTATATTGGTGAAACTTAGAGACCATTGAAAGTGCGTGAGAATGAACATTGAAATTACATAAAAAATAGACAATTGACAGGATCTAAATTGTCAGAACACATTTCAAAATCAGACGGTGAACATCGAGTTGATGGAACAAGACAAGAATGATTACCAATGAGGCTCACTCTAAGAGACGTAAGCTAAAAGAATCAGCGTATATTGTCATATCGTATATTTTGAAAAGCTCCTAAGAAATAGACCGTACTTGGCTACCCATCTTGAAGGAAAATTTGGATAGTGACGAAATGGCAAGAG